TGCTGTGAGTCCGAGGGCGGAGCCAGGGGCGCCGTGGATGCAGCAGCCGTGGGTGGAGCGAGTGTACCTCGGGTATTGGGAGGAGCAGACCCAGATCTTCAAGGCAGCCGCACAGACTTACCGAGGGAACCTAGAGATCCTCCGCGGCCACTACAACCAGAGCGAGGACGGTGAGCCGCGCGCCGGGCCCGTCACGACCCCCCTCCCCACGGACGGGCCGGGGTCGCCCCGAGGGTCCGGGTCCGAGGGCACATGCCCTTGACCAGAATCGAACCTGGGACCCTCCAGTCCCCAGACAGACGCTTTACCCATTGAGCCAAACTGGCCAGGGCAATAAAATTACTTCTAATTAGTATAAATTCAAGTTACAATCTGTAACTTATCATGTAAAATGGATTGTAAACCTCATTGCTGATTTGTGAATTTCCAGAGGCCAACTGGTAATTGTTTGACTTCCAGTGCATGTGGCTGCGATGTGGGACCCGACGGGCGCCTCTTCCGCGGGTACAGTCAGTGGGCCTACGACGGCGCCGACTACATCACCCTGAACGAGGACATGAACTCCTGGACCTCGTCCGACCTGGCGGCTCAGATCACCGGGCGCAAGTGGGAGGCGGAGGGTGAGGCAGAGCGTGTGAGGAGCTACCTGGAGGGCCTGTGTGTGGAGTCACTACTCATTTACGTGGAAAAAGGGAAGGAGACCCTGCAGCGCGCAGGTACCAGGGACCCTGGAGCTGCCCCCAATCCTGGGGCTGGGGTTGCTACAAGGAGACAGGACAGGGGGTCAGTGTCAGAAGCCCCTCCTTGGGGTCGGGGAGGGAGCTCCCTGGATGTCTAGGACAGGCACCAGAGGGACCCCCCTCATCTCAGGGACAGTTAGGGTGCAGGCTCTCCTGGGGTGCAGGGAGACCCCCCAGAAATAGCCCATCAGCGGTTCCCATGGACCCTGCAGAGGCTCTGGGACACACGGGGTCCTTCTCTATCAGGCCTTGTCGCTGCCCACACCCACTGTGTCTGAGGCCTGACCACAGCTTTTCTGAGTAACGTGGCCTCCACCCATGTCACTACCACAAATACCTTTTCTCCTGTCAGAGACCTGCCTCCTGCCCTGGGCTGTGTCTCTCTGATTCTAGAACTTTCTAAAGATTAGGAGAGCCTTCCAGGTGCCT